TGTGAGAGAAGCCTAATGTTTATGACCTATGAATCCACCTAATTTTGACTCCAAGCTGCCATGCATTAGGCTGGTAGGAAGGTGAACGTAAATCACTCCAGTAGGTTTGAGTCCACCTCAGTCACACTCCCTTACTCTGCCAAGGCTCCGGAGGCCTTCCTTAGTCATTGGTCATCTCCCACATCAGTCAATGCTGACATGCCCATTGTCTGTGTCTGCACAGTACTGGCAGGTCTGGCAGCATCTGGCAGTTTCCGTAACATATTTAGGGCACTGGGCTATTTGGCAAAGCTCTGCAACCATTGCCTGGGGCTTTGTTTCCCTAGATGAACTGAGTACCTCCTGCCTGGAGTCTTGCTTCCCATAGTAATGACCTAAGCAGAGAATGGGTCCTTCTTGCTTCTAGACCTACAGATCTCTTCTCTTCAGGACGTCTAAAGTAATCTCTAGTTTGGGTGGATATTTCTCCCTCTTGTTCTTTCACCATATGCTTTTATAGTTCATCAAATTCATAACTTGAAAAACATGTTCCTCTTTACTCCAGGAAAGGAAGAGATTACTAATTGAAAGTGAGGGAAAATATTTGCATTTCACTTTCTAGTCCATCAAAAAAAGGGAAGAAAAACAAAAACAGTTAAGATTTTGTATTGAAATCGTGAGCATCTGCACCCTGCCACATATTTGTGGAGAGGAAGATCAGCAAGTGGAAGGAAACACCCAGGCCTCAGAAGGACTCGATGAATGGGACAATTGGCAGGACGTATGATGGGTCCGAGGAGTGGTTGAAGGTGATGTCTTTAAACTTGGGCTTCCCTGAGTTTCAGAATGGAGCACTGCAATGAGCCTGCACTCAGGGTCCATAGATCGAACCTGAATATCCACAGTTACCTAGTAGATAGGGCTGCAGGTGGCGGGGGTGGGGGCTGGGCATTGGTGGTCTGACCTCATATGAACTGTCCTGCTTCTAGTCAAGAACGCTTTGGAATTCTGTTGGGGGTTGTGGATGCTCATGGCTGAAATTAACTAACTTTAAAAAATAATTGGTCAGTTTACTTGCTTTATTTCATTTGTTCTTCAAACTACCCAGGAAGGTAAATGTCACAGTTTCCATTCTGCTGATGGGAAACCTGAAGCTAAGAGAGGCCAGGGGAATTTATCACAGTAATACAGCTAGTATGTGACATCAAATCCATGTCAGTTATTGTAGGTTTACTCTAGTGGATAATTTATTGCTCAATAGTGATATTTTGAGAATGAAAGGGGCTGCTATTAATAGTTATCTCAGGACTATAAGTATAAACTGGAGTTTTCCTGTGTGGTCAGTCAACTCGGCTATTTCTTTATTCTTATTAACTTTTTAAAGAACAAATTGTAATCTTCGTACTTTTAAAAATTCACTTCAACTTTTAAAAATTCCCCAGCCTGGCCGACATGGCAAAATCCTGTCTGTATTAAAAACACAAAAATTAGCCGGGCGTTGTGGTGCATGCCAGTAGTCTCAGCTACTCAGAAGGCTGAGGCAGGAGGATTGCTTGAACCCAGAAGGTAGAGGTTTCAATGAGCTGAGATCGTGCCGCTGCACTCCAGCCTGGGCAACAGAGCGAGACTCTGCCAAAAAAAAAAAAAAAGAAAAAAAAAGACTTCTAATTCCTTTTATGAAGCCAATATAACCCTAGTATCAAAACTTGATAAGAGCACTGCAGTAAAGTAGATTACAGATCAGTCTCACTTCTGAACATAAATGCAAGAATACTAATATGCATTAGGTAACTGAATTTGGTAATTACTAAAATAATATACAGTGATTTAAAAATATAGCATACCATGACCAGTTATAGTTAATTCTTAGGACTGCAAGGAGATAATTCTACATTTGAAAAATTTATTAATGTGATTTCCCATACTAGGAAACTAAAGAAAGAAATACTTAGAACATTTCAACAGAGCATAAAAAGCATTCCATAAAGTTCTGTATTTATTTACAGTTTAAATTAGCAGAAAACTAGGAACAGAAAGAGATTTTCTTAATGTAATAAAGAGATATTTACTGTTTACCTGGAAAATCTTGAAAAATGTTTGCTTTAAAATTAGGGATAATTCAAGAATACTGGCTATCATAATGTTCTGCCTCACACTGGAGGCTCAGGCCAATGTAATAACATAGAATAGAACACAAAGAAATATAATGATTGGATTGGAGGAAAATAAAATTGTCATGTGTGAGTGTTATGACTGCTATGGCCATTTACACAGAAAATTAAAGTAAATCAACAAAACTCTTAGAAGTAATAAGAAACTTGTTTGATTGCAAGATCCATATACAAAAGTCAGTAACATTTTTCAGTACTAGAAAAAATAAAATTACTGAGATAATAGAAAAGAAGATACTGTTCAAAACAACCACAAATCCCTGTAAAATATCAAGGACTTAATAGACAAAAACTCACAAGACCACCACAGAAGAACATTTTGAAACTCTACCAAAGGGCAAAAAGAAACCTGAATTAATAATCAGAAGAATCATCTTCATGAATGAGGCAGCAGTATTTAAGGATAACCATTTTCCCTCAATTTAGGGCAATTCCAAGCAAAATTATAGCCACCTTTAGGGAGAATCTGCCTTCTCATATTTTGAACGAACCCTTCATTGAGTAAGTCTTGATAGAGGGCAGAGCCCTGCCTCTCTCTGTGGAAGCGGGAGAAGAATCAGAACCTTCTTTCTCTCTGGAGACTAGGATATGAGTATGTGATCCTAACTTGGACAAAACATTCTCCTTTCCGGAACTTTGAAGCTTGTGTGAGTGGTAGGGTGATGCGGGGGTGGTTTGGAAGAACATTCTCTGTGGCAGCATCCTGGTGCAGTGTGGTCTTCTCTGTTGCCAGGCCTCCCATGGTTCCTGCCCATTTTCTGGGCCTGTTTCTCTAAACTTCTTTCTGATTTTGTGAGCTCTCTGGTATCTTTCCCAATAAAATTCATTTCTGTATTAATTTAGAATCAGTTGCTGTTCCTTACAATCAGTAACTTGGAACTGGGAATGTTTACAAAATGATTCTGAAATTCATGTAAAAGTATACATGTCCATGAGTAAATTAAGACCAGGGATTGGTCAACTTTTTCTATAAAAGACCAGATATTAAACATTTTAATCTTTGGTGGCTGGATGCAACTACCCAATTTGGCTGTTGCAGTGTTCAAAAGAAGCAAATGAGAGTAGTTGTGTTTTAATAAAACTTATTAAAATAGTTAGTGAATAGGGTTGGGCCCATGAACTATAATTCTCTGACCCCTGCCTAAGACAATCAAAAAAAAAAAAAAAAAAAAAAAAGAAAGAAAAGAAAAGAGGGGACAGCCCCTTTCCATCAGATATTCAAACATATTACTCAGCCATAGTAGGTAAGCCAATGTGGTACTGGTACGGGAATATACGAATAGACCAGGGAACAGAAAGAACCCAGAAACAGGCACATGAGAATTTGGTCTATTTTGGAGAAAAAATTAGTTTTTATGGAAAAATAAAAATTAGATCCCTACCTAAGGGAGAAATATAAAAATAAGTAAGGACTTAAATATGAAAGATTGTAACTGCTAGAAAAAAATATGTAGGTCAGGCATGGCCTAGCACTTTGGGAGGCTAGGTGAGAGGATTGCTTGAACCCAGGAGTTCAAGACCAGCCTGGGCAACATAATAAGACCCTGTCTCTACAGAAAATACAAAAATTCGTTGGGTGTGGTGGCATGTGGCTGTGGTCCCAGCTACTCAGGAGGCTGAGGTGGGAAGATAACTTGAGCCTGGGAAGTTGAGGCAACAGTGAGCCTGCACTGCACTCCAGACTGGGTGAGAGAACAAGACCCTGTCTCAACAACTAAAAATAAAACATTGAATATCTTTAGGATTTTGGAGTAGGGAGAAGAATTATGATCATCAGGCCAGTATTCAAATGTTTTGCATTCTCTGAGGACACATCAGAGAAAGTGATTGGGTTATAAGGATAAATTTGCCTAGAGCTCAATTCTATGTTGTTATTTCAGGTAAGCATAGTCTTTCTTCAAGAACCAAGGACTAGCCAAGTGTGCTTTCGTCTCTACTTCAAAAAAAAAAAAAAGAACCGAGGACTGGTTATTTATTGGTGGCTGAATGATTGGTTTGTGAAAAGACAGGAAACCCAGGCTCAATAAGGGAATGGTGGTCTGGTGGTCTTTGTGTTGACAACAATTAATAGGAAAACCCCAAGAGGCAGAATTTGGAGCCAAAGGCAGTACGGGGCCCTGATGGATGATTCTATATGAAAATAGATTGTCCCTAAACATGGCTAACAGGGACAGTCATGAGGCAAATGAGTAAGTCCAGATACAAAGTCAGATATCCAATAATTGTTGTTTGTTTTTGTTTTCTATATGTATATGTCCTTAAGATTATCTTATTGGAGAGGCAGTTATTATTGTTATTATTTTATATTTTTCTGGGACGGAGTCTGGCTCTGTTGCCCAGGGTGGAGTGCAGTGGCACAGGCTTGGCTCACCGTAACCTCTGCCTCCTGGGTTCAAGTGATTCTCCTGCCTCAGCCTCCTGAGTAGCTGGGATTACAGGCACCTGCCACCACCTAATTTTTTAGGCTAATTTATTTTTGTATTTTTTTCTTTTTTAGTAAAGATGGGGTTTCACCATGTTGGTCAGGCTGGTCTCAAACTCCTGACCTCAGGTGATCCACCCGCCTTGGCTTCCCAAAGTGTTGGGATTATAGTCGTGAGCCACCGCGCCTGGAGAGGCAATTAAAAAGACTTTGGGAACATACAAATATAGCTTCAAATCCAAGTGCTATTACATCCCAACTGTGGGAATTTCTTAATTTATGAAATGAATAAAATAATACCTACTTTTCAGGGTTGCTGTAATGATCAGAATGTGGGTATGAAGGGTGGATTGGGGATGACTGCACATTCTTCGTCATGTACTCACACTGAGAAATGGAGTTTAATAATTAATTGCCTCATTCAACAGATATTTAATGGGTGCTTACTCTGTGTCACGTGACCTTCTTGCTGCTGAACAAAGTAGATAAATTCCTTGCCTGAAAGTAATTAAGGTAATACCTTTTAATCATTGTTGGTGATGTAATGGTTATTAAGAGAACCAGAATATCAGGGTTTAGCTAAAAAGACCTAATTGTCTGATATGGACACGTAAGAAGTGAAGTTCAAAGGAAATCTGTCCTAAGTAAATTATAATTAACATCTAAGTATTAATCGTTAACAAGCCGAATAGAAACCATATAGCTATTTCAAATTTAAATTAGCCTCTATCTTACCTATTATTTTTAATTTATACCACTACCTTCTGGAAGATGCGTAAATGAAAATCCTAATTGAGTAAGTTAACACAAATAAATACCACTCATCCATTCATTCATTCAACCAATCATTCAACAAATATTTTATTTTATTTCACTTATTTATTTTTTGAGGCAGAGTCTCACTCTGTCACCCAGGCTGGAGTGCACTGTCATGATCCTGGCTCACTGCAACCTCCACCTTTCAGGTTCAAGCAATTATCCTGCCTCAGCCTCCCAAGTACATGGGACCACAGGTGGGCATCACCACGCCTGGCTAATCTTTTTGTATTTTTAGTAGACACGGGGTTTCGCTATGTTGGCCAGGCTGATCTTGAACTCCTGGTCTTAACTGATCCACCCACCTTGACCAAAGTGCTGGAATTACAGGCATGAGCCACAGTGCCTGGCTTCAACAAGTATTTGTTGGACAACTTTTATATGCTAAACTGTGCTAACCATTGTTTCTAACTCTGAATGATTCAGACATAGACTCTGCTTTTTCTGCCAAGAACTCCACTTTCATATCAAAATTATGGTAGACGAGGAAAACCTTGAAAAAAAGTGCTAGGTTAATCGCATTTTTTTTTTATAACTGAATGATTTCTTAGATTAAGAGATTTTAATCTATTTACTTTGAGGTAGATTGATCCCTGAATGACATGGTCTAGTTACTGATAACTAAAAAATTACGATTAGATGTTAAGTTTGAATAGAATTTCAATCCATTATTTAGGGTTCCTAAATTTTTCTATATACTGTAGTTGCTTGGTTTTATTCAGGGCTAGGTAAAGTTGCGAATTTGAGAGGCAAGACAAAAAGAACCTGTCGAATGCATTCGTATTATGCCAACGTAGTTCTCAAGGTATCTTTCAAGTGAATGTTTAGCACATACACATGCTCACAAAACAAACTCGACATTCACCATTATCAATGACTAGGATGGCGAATCCAGTCTTGCTTTGTAACCAAGGAAAGTCACTGCTGCATGGTCCAAACGTGCTTAATCTTTATGAAGATGCCTCAGCAAAAGATGACAGGGATATAAGACTGTGTTATTCCTTTGAAGTTTAACTCATTATCCTTTGGTAATCATAACTCCATGTTTTTTACCTCCCCAATTAAAGTTCCAAAAGGCAACAGTAGGTCACAGCAGCCCCTTAGTCGGAGGTTAGGTTCAGGTGCAATTTACTCTCCTCTGCATGCTTGCTAGTAACCAAAGGAGTAACAATTCCACACACCAAGAATGATCAGTGAGTCAGTGGCCAGGGTTCACGTTGCATGACAGCCTTCTATACTTGTAGGAAATACAGATTTTACCATCAAAGAAACTACTGCTGTCACCAGGGTCATGGTCTTTAGATTCACGTCATTTGGAGTGTAAAGCACTAGATCTGAATTCCTTTTTTGTTGATTGCGGCATTGACAGGTGAGCTGTAATGATAAAAGAAGGTATAAACTAGAACTTATCTTTGCTGATCCATGCAGCACTTTTTTGTTGTAGCAAGTGTACTTTTGGTTAGAATTAACACATCTCTTCTGGTTTGAATGAGTCTCCTGAAGTTGATGGAACTTAGTGGTTTCATAAGAGAAAGGGTGCCCTCATGTGGCGATTTAGAAACATAACAGCAAATTCTTTGGCATTCCCGGTTTCAAGGAGGTGTGTATTGCCTCGTTTTAACTCTGGTTGTGTTTGTGATTACTTTTATCAGTGGAGTATGGCAGAAGTAAGGCTATTGACTTGTATGGCTAGATCTTAAAAGTCATACAGCCTCCATGGTGGAGGAGATGCCATGAGCAGGCAATATGGTTGACAGTCCCAGCTGAGCCCAGATTTCCAGTTATCTACAGTAACGCAGCAGACGTGTGACTGAAGCCATCCCAGTCCCTCCCAACCAGCCCATCGGCCGATAGAACAAAAGGATCACCCAAGGCAGCCTTGCCTGAATTCCTGGCCTACAAAGTCATGAGATATAATAAAATGATTGCTGTTTTGAGCTACGGTTTAGGGTTCTTTTTATGCAATGTTAGATAACTGGACACTCCTTGTATTAATTCAAGTTCTCCAAAAGCTGATACCAAGAGGGAATTCGATGTACAAGAGGTTTTTGGGGAAACACCTGTGGAGGATAAAGGGGTAAGGAGGGGACTAGGTAGGGAGAGCTTTCAGACTCTGATGCAGGTCTAGAATCTGAAGGAAGAAAGATTAGGCAAGAAGAGTCTTAGGCTCTCTCACAAGAAAATAAAGTTTTTCCAGGCTGTGGTGGTGGTGGGGAGGTCCTCAAGCCTGTTAGAAAGATTCTGCTCATCCCAAACACTTTATGATCAAACTGGAGTTTTGGACCTGTGTGCAGCGTGCTAGAATTGATAGAATGTAGCTTAGAAACTGATTAAAACAACTTAGAGAATCCCAATGTTAGGACTTTCTCCCTCTCACATTGTATATCATCTGTTATAACTCTGAAAATGTATAATGGTTTATTTATTTATTTATTTATTTATTTATTTATTTATTTATTTAGAGATGGAGTCTTTTTCTGTCACCCAGGCTGGAGTGCAGTGGTGGTGCAATCTCAGCTCACTGCAACTTCTGCCTCCAGGGTTCAAGCAATTCTCCTGCCTCAGCCTCCCAAGTATCTGCGATTACAGGTGTGCCCCATCACGCCTGGCTAATTTTTGTATTTTTAGTAGAGTTGGGGTTTTGCCACATTGGCCAGGCTGGTCTCGAACTCCTGACCACAAATGGCTCCCAAAATGCGGCACTTGGCTCCCAAAGTGCGGGAATTACAGGTGTGAGCCATTGCACCCAGCCAAAATGTGTTATAGTTATTCTTTATGTAGCCATGTTATTCATCAGACTTTGAGATTCTTGAAGGCAGGGTCTGTGTGTTTTTCATCTTTGTATCCTTCTTCATTCCCCAAGTTTCTGGCTTAATGAATGCTTGTTGAATGACTAAGAATAATAGTGAAATCACATTCCTTGTGTGGTTCTCAGAACAAATTGTAATTCTCTGGATTTATCTGTAAGGACTTCATTGTTGATGAAATATCTGAATATTAATTACATCTTCTAAAAATATGTTGTAAACAGACTTGTAAATAATAGTGAAGAAAATCACACAAAAGGAGGAATTTCTCTTTAATGGTACTCTGCTATCTTAGTAAATAGTTTTTATAGTCTTGTCTGCTAGCACTGCTCTCCTACCATTTTCTGAGGATTATGGATAGGAGAATTCATAACTCACTAGACTGACGTTTTAGTTGACTTCCTAGAGAATACATTTGATCTTGCAAGTTCTGTACCTAAAGCCTTCCTTGTCACTTTATCCTATTGTGATGGTTTCTAGATTTTTGGATTTCATGGATTAATATCATTTTTTAAAAACTGGGGTGCTGACGCTTATTTTGTAAAGCAAGAACATCAAAAATAATCTATGGCCTGTTATTATCATCATTTTACAAAAGAAAGGCTATGTTCATAACAAAAAGAGGAAAAAATTATCTCAGAATTTTAAAATGGAAAGGACAGAGACAGATTACAGAGTTAGTACATTATCCTTATTGTTTCTCATTCCTTTACAGTTTGGTACCAGACTGTGTACCTGAACTATTGGCTGTAAATTAAAATTTCAACTTAAGTAAGGCTTTCCTAGTTGGTGCTCAGCCTACGTCTTCAGCTTCTTTTTATCCCCATATCCAGTAGCTGTCATTTTCCAGGGGCTGGGAAGGAGGAATGAGAATGTCCTGGGGACGATGCTTTTTTTTTTTTTTTTTTGAGACGGAGTTTCATTCTTGTTGCCTAGGCTGGTGGGCTGTAGTGCAATAGCGTCATCTTGGCTCACTGCAACCGCCGCCTCCTGGGTTCAAGCCATTCTCCTGCCTCAGCCTCCCAAGTAGCTGGGATTACAGGAGCCTGCCCCCACGCCTGGCTAATTTTTGTATTTTTAGTAGAGATGGGGTTTTGCCATGTTGGTTAGTCTGGTCTCAAACTCCTGACCTTAGGTGATCCACCTGCCTCGGCCTCCCAAAGTGCTGGGATTATAGACATGAGCCACTGCACCCAGCCAATGCTTCATTTTTACAGAGGCAACACAAGAGTTGCACACCTCACGTCTGCTTACATTCTGTTGGCCTGGACTTGGTTGGAGGAACAGACTAGTGAGGCTGGGGAATTCTGGTCTGCAGCTCTTGGCCATGTATTTAGCTAAAACTTGGTGATTCTATTTTTGAAAGGAAGGGGAGAATGGATACTGGAGAAAATGGTGATCCATCACAGCCCACTCCTTTGGCCCTCCATGTAGCCAGGTTCACCTTTTGTCTCAGTAATGGAGTGTAATCACCACATACCAACAACCCAAAGTCCTGTCTGGGGGCCACATCCGTCCCCAAGTCCAGGATCTCTGGGTGATGTGCTGTCCTCTCTGTCAAGTGACAGGGTGGCTTTTGCCTCGCACGCCTGCATCCAATACTTAACGATGTTGTAGAATGGTGTGTCTGCAATAAAATCTCTTTCACAAATGGAAAATTGGGAAATGGGAAATGTGCAGGAGTCAATGGTTTGTAACAATGGTGAAATTCTAACGGGGAGAAAAACAGACTCTTGCCCTGGCAATGGAATACATTCTTGGTTAGAACTTGTTCCATTTTCTGTGAGCAATTCTTTGTCTATTGTCCTTTACTCATTATTCTCTACTTTTTGCCAGTGTTAGAAATACGTTCTTGTAGAAGGCTGTTTAGATTTCATAGCCTTCTTCCTGCTGGTGCAAGATAGGTGTGCCCGATCTATTTGCTATATGCATTTTTTAGAATAGGCTACAGACCCCAGAACATAATGATTTAAAGAAAAGATAGTTCATTTCATTTTTTACAGAAGAGCTCTGTGCTGGAGTTTCATACCAGCAGTGGCCCTGCTCCATGCAGTCCTTTGAGGACTAATATCAGTAGAGAATGAGCTAAGCTTCTTGACAAGGGGATATAGATATGCAGTGGCTTAAAACATAGAATTTCATTTCTCTCTATATTTCTGACTGATGGCTGGAAATCAGAGACGAGCAGAGCAAACTTGGGAGCCTCATACTGAGGAAAGCTGCCGCACCTGCCCAGGTCTGTGCACTGTTAGACTGTTAGATAAAAGAGAAATAAAATGCAATCTTGTTTGAGCTCCTCTCCAGCTAGCTTTTCAGGCTGCAAAATGTAAGAAAAGCAGAAAAGCATAAGACCCAACAGAGTCCCTTTAAGCTTCCCTAGATATCCCACATCACATTTCTGTATACTTGTTGTTAAGAAAGTTTGAGAAATGGTTTTTGATTTACAATGGAAATGTTCTTAGCTAAAAAAAACCAAAAAACAAAAACCAAAAAAAAAGCGGAGAATGAATGTTTGAGTAGGCATCTAGTAGCCTATGCCATCCTATGTAAACACCAGGAGAAAATTAGCTGGCCTTTTCAGTGGCTGTCTTAGTCTGTTTTGTGCTGCTATAACAAAATACCACAGACTGGGTAATATATAAAGAACAAAAATTTACATCTGCAGAGTCTGGAGGATGGGAAGTTCAAAATCAAGCGGCTGGCATCTGGTGAGGGCTTTCTTGCTGTATCATTCTATGGTGGAAAGCAAGAGGGAGAGAGAGAGAGGAGAGAGAGAGAGAGAGAGAGAGAGAGAGAGAAAGGGGGCTAAACTTGTCTTTTTATAAGGAACCAATTCCCATGATAACAAACTCACTCCTGCAATAATGGCATTAATCCACTCAGGAGGGCAGAGCCCCTACAGCTGTGTCACTTCTTAAAGGTTCCACCTCTTAATACTGTTTGAATGACACTTAAGTTTCAACATGAGTTTGGGAAGGAACAAACATTCAAGCCCTAGCAATGGCTTAGTTTGTTCATCTATAGTCACATAATGTGCGTTGCCATGTGTGGTTAAATATAGTTTAATTATTGTCAAGAACATTCCAGAAGACATGAAGTTGAAGAAAAGGAGTTCTACAACTGTGATGTGTTATTAAAAATGATTTCTTTCAGCCTAATAAAAGTAAAACTGGAATAGCTATAATTTCTTCACGAAATTATTAACTCTGCAATGATAAATAGCTGATTCCTTTTTAATACAAACAAAAATTTTAAAGAGACACTTTTATTCCATGGTAACTTGTGTTATTGTTTCTTCCTAACAGTCACACTTCATTTTTCAGATGAGATATCCTGTTTCTAACTTTCTCTTCCTTATTAAAGAAACTTTTTGCCTGAAGAAACTTTGTGGTGATTATTTTTTATGTGCTTTTGAAAAATATTTTATGGTGTTATTATTACAAAATAAATTCATGTCCATTATAAAAATACATATAAGGAAAACCTGGATATGATCATGAATACTATTTTGTTCTTTATCGTTCCACACCTAAACATATGTTTATATGTTTAAATTATACTGAAAATACAACTGGTAATTCAATTCATAGTATTTTACAAATTGAATTTTAACTTACGATCTTTTTTCATTGCAAATGTTTTCTCTTTTTTTGGGGAAAAATACACATAACATAAAATTTACTGTCGTAATCATTTTTAAGTGTACAGTTCAGTGGTATTAAGTACATTCGTATGGTTGTACAACCATCACCACCATCAATCTCCAGAACACTTTCCTTCTTGCAAAACTGAAGCTCTCTGCCCATTAAACAATAATTCCCTATTGACCCTTCCCCCAAAGGCCCTGGAAACTATCATTCTACTTTCCATCTCTAAGTACCTCATGTAAGTGGAGTCATGCAGTGTTTGTCTTTTTGTAACTGGCTTATTTCACTGACCATAATGTCCTCAGGTTTTATCCAGAAGTTTCTTCCTTTTTTATGGCTAAGATACACCACCTTTTGTTTATCTGTTCATCTGTCAGTGGACACTTGGGTGCCTCCACATTTTAGCTCCTGGGAATAATGCTGCTATGAATGTGAGTGTACAACTGTGTCTTTGAAATCCTGCTTTCAATTCTTTTGCGTACACTCCCAGAAGTGGAATTGCTGGATCATATGATAATTCTGCTTTTATTTCTTGGAGAACCACCGTACTGTTTTCCATAGCTGCTATACAATTTTCCCTCGAAGAGTGCATAGAGGTTTCAATTTCTTCATATATTCGCCAATACTTATTCTCAGCTTTTAAAAGTAGAAGCCATCTTAGGGGATGTGAGGCAGTATTTTGTTGTAGTTTTGATTTGCGTTTCTCTAATGATTAGTGATGCTGAGCATGTTTTAACGTACTTATCGATCATTAGTATATATTCTTTGTAGAAACTTCTATTTAAGTTCTTTGCCCATTTTTAACTCAATTTTTTTTGTTGTCGAATTTTAGGAGGTCTCTATATATTTTCTATATTAATTCCTTATCATATATATAATTTGCAAATATTTTCTCCCATTCTTTGGGTTGCCTTTTTATTCTGTTGAGAGTGTTTTTTGATGCACAAAGTTCCTGCATTATTTTCTTCTTTTGTGTTTAATTGATTTGTTGTAATAAAATGTTTCAATTCTTCTCTCATTTTCTTTTGTGTATATTATTTTATCTTTTTTTGAATACTGTTGGAATTACATTTAACATTATAAAGTTAGAAAATTCTCATTTGAATTTATACCAGTTTAATTTTAATAACATAAACAAACTCTGCCCCTTTAACACCCTCTGCTCCTTTAACACCGCCACCATTTTCAGTTGTTGATGTCACAAAATTACATCTTTATACATTGTATGTCCAAACACAGAAATAATTTTTAATGCATTACTTTCTTAAATCATGTAGAAAACAAAATGTGGAGTTACAAACAAAAGTTAAAATAATATTAGCTTTTAGATTAGGAATTATTTTTTTAAAAATGTGTCTCTTAAAACATGTAGAAACAAAAAGTAGAATTACATACCATCATTACAATAATACTATCTTTTATAATTGCTCCTCTATTTATGTTTATTAAGATCTTTATTTCACCATACGACTTCAAGTTACCGTCTGTGGTTCTTTCATTTCAACCTGCAGGATTCCCTTTAGCATTTCTTGTAGGGTCAGTCTAGTGGTAACAAACTCCGACTGTTTTTGTTTATCTGATAATATCTTAATTTCTCCCTTACTTTTGAAGGACATTTTTGCCAGATATATAATTCCTGGCTGACTTATTTTTTCCTTTAGCACTTTGAATACTTCTGGCCTCCAGCGTTTCCAATGAGAGATCTGCTGATGATCTTACTGAGGATCTCATATGTGACACATCATTTATCTCTTGCTGTTTTTAAAATTCTCTCTTTGTCTTTGCCTTTCAACAGTTTGATTATAATGTGTCTTGGTGTGTATCTCTTTTGGTTCATTTTATTTGGAGTTCATTAAGCTTCTTGAATGTTTACAGTCATGTCTTTCAACAAATTTAGAAAGTCTTCAGTTATTAATTCTTCAAATATTCTCTCTCCTCCTTCTCTTTATCTTCTAGGATTCCCACAATGCATGTTGGTTTGTGTGATGGTATCTCACAAGTCTCTTAGACTCCATTCCCTTTTCTTCAATTTTTCTTTCTGTTTTTCAACTTTTATAAATTTGGTTGTTCTATCTCAAAGTTCACTGATTCTTTCTTCTTCCCACTCAGATCTGTCTTTGAATACTTTTAGTGACTTAATTATTTTAGTTATCGCACTTTTTAGCTCCGGCATTTCTTTTTGGTTTATTTTCAGGTATTCTATCTCTTTATTAATATTTTAATTTTGTTCATATGTTATATTCCTGACTTTTTCTAAGTCTTCTTTTAGTTCTTTGAGTATCTTTAAAACAGTTGCTTTAAAGATTTTGTCTGATAGATCTACTATCATATCACTTTCAGGGACAGTTTCTGTTGGTTTATTTTATTTATCTTTAAATGTGCAATACTTAACTTTTTATTTATCTTTAAGTGGGCTATACTTCATATGCACTGTGACTTTTTTATTGCTGTTGAACACTGAACATTTGAAGCTAATAATATGGTAACTCTAGAAGTCAGATTCTCTCCCATCCCTAGGTTTTGCTTTCCCTTTTTTTTTTTTTTATTTCATTCTTATAGGTGGTCTCTGCACCAAGGATCAGCTTGAAGTGTACACTTAAGGTCTTCTCAGGTCTTTTCTGAGCCTGAGCCTACCCTCGAGCATGCATGGTGGCTTTCTAATTTCCCTTGTATATGCAGTTGCCTTTTAAGGTTGTGTCTTCAGTGTCTGGTCCCAAAAGGGGAAAAAGAGAAAAATGAAGGGGGAAAAGGTGCTGGCCATTTAAATTCCCTGGAAGTTATTTCAGTCAGACGGGGAGAGCTTGTAACAGTGAGAGAGATGAAAAAACAATGGCCATAATCTCTTTTTGTGTACTTCTGTGATCAGAAGCAGCAATCTGGAGATCAGAGCACAAATACCTAATAATTGCAGGACAGGGTCCTGTTCGTCCACCCTGGCTTTCAAAATTGTGTGAAAGTTTTATTATATAAAGCTGCTCCAGGAACAGGTGCACAATTCCCTGCCACTGGGC